TGCTGTTTCGGCCTCTCGGCCTCTACCGGACCCGGCTATAGGCTATAGGACCGTCTAGCAGCATAGGCCGCTTAGGGCCTGTCTGTCCTAGGGGTGGCCCGGGCCTGCTATAGGCAGTTAGGGTAGCTGTAGGAATTCGGGTTAGTGTTGGGCCTATGTTTTTCCCAGATTTGCAGATATGTCCCTCACAATCTCCTTACAGGCAGGTCTCTCGGTTAGCCCTCAGCCAAACAAAATTACGAATCTAACCCTACCGGTTAGTGTACAGCTTCGCAGTCAATCTCAGCAGTAGAAATCAGCAAGTCATTGCACCTTTGTTTTCATCTTCATTCCCCACTCCTTACTTTCCCTGTGTTTTCCTTTGCTTTGTCTTCTCTCCATCTCTTCTCTGTGTTTATCCCCTCCTCTGCCTCCTTCTCACATCTCTCCATCTCTTCTCTATGTTTATCTGCTCCTCTGCCTCCTTCTGACAGCGTACAAGTGGGCCACTATCGCACACAGGGATGGCGACAGCTTGTGCTCACCTTCATCAAAGTGGCGAGCCTTGTACATGAGAGGCACGGTGAAGGGGGAGTTAAAAGAAGAATGATATAAATGAATGGTGTCAGTGTGCAATGTGCTCTTCATGTTTATCTTGTGTATTTTACTATTTTTATCTTTCGTTTCGCAAATTGCGCTCTGTTAGTTCATAGATATGTGACAATATAATGGATGGCAAGAGAACATCAAACATTGGTGTCTCAGCAGACAACCAGATCTAATGTTTGAATTGGTTCTCAATCGCTGGTGTTTTTTGTTTTCTCTGTTGCATTAGATATATAATGGATGGCTGGAGAACATAAAGGATTGGTGCCTTAGCAGACAGCTGTGGTGGGGCCATCGACTGCCTGTTTGGTATGTAAAACATGGTAACAGCAGTGGCCTGCAAGAGGGAGAAGGGGAGGACTATGTTGTTGCACGGGATGAGCTGCAAGCCTACTCCTTGGCCCGTGCCAAATTTGGACCATCTGTGCATCTGGAACAGGACCCGGATGTGCTTGACACCTGGTTCTCAAGGTAGGGAGTATGGGCATTTATCAAGACCAAATTATGTAGGTTGGAGATATACATTCACCTCTATCTTGTTGTAGTATATGACACCTTGTGCAGGTTCATCTCTTTTAAGTTTTAAGTTGCTACTGCTCCGAGCCTTTCGCCCTGGAGCTTGAAATTTTGATGCTGGGGTTGTCCGGGGCGGCACAAGGTCTAATGGCTGACCCTAAAAGTAGAACCGCAAACAAACCTGCAACGAACCAATATTTGAATATGATAAATGGAACCGTAAAGGGAGATATGAAAACCAAAGGCTCAAGAAAGTGGGAAAGAAGAGTGTGTGTGTGTGTGTGTGTTAGAGGTGGCAACTGGGTAACCGTTGCCCGTACCCGACCATACCCAACTGTAACCGGCAGGTTATGGGCAGGTACGGGTACCCTTCCGGAGGGGGCCATCGGTATGGGCAGGCATAAATTTTATTTGTGGATTTCAGGGCAGGCACGGTTGCACTGCGTGGAGATCACGGGCAGGCATGGGCGGGTATTGGCGGTGAAAAGGGAAAAACCGCAGGTACGGGCGGCCAAGAAAAAAAAAAGCATGGGTAGAACCGTTATAGGGTGGTGAAAAAAAAAATCAGATGGGTATGGGCGGGTAAGCAATTTTGTCGGGTAACCGTACGTAATATCCACCTTCCCCCCCCTCTTTCTAGGAAATATACAGACCGGCGGAGCTGTTTTTTTCTTAGGCACAATTTTTTTCCCTGGCGCGAACGACGAGAAAAAGATTTCAGGCAATAGCCTCCCAACTTCGAAATTGGCCACTTTCGAAATTGGAAGGCTCCAACCTCGCCTCAGGGAGTTCCCCTTTGGAAATTGGCCGCCGGTCATGGTTGTACCCGCCGCCCTTCTGTGTGCATGCCACTGCATGGCCATCATTCGCCCGCCGTGGTTGTACCCGCTGCCGTTCTGTGTGTGCTGCATGGCAGAGAGAGAGAGAGAGAGAGAGAGAGAGAGAGAGAGAGAGAGAGAACAGCTAAGTCTCCAACCGCGTGGCTAGCCTCACTCTACTTTCATCGATAGGATGATCAAAATCAAATAAATCTTCCGCAAGGGCAGTTAGAGGGGATAGGAGGCGGTTAGGGACGCTTTGGGGCGGTTGGGGACGGTTAGGGGCGATAAGGGGCAGTTAGGGGCGGTTGGGGACAGTTAGGGGTGGTTAGTGGAGGGTGGGTCACAAATGCGGATGGTTAGGGG